ACATTAGGAAGGTTGTCAATGAGAGGCGCATAGAGGCGACGGAAGTGGGGGAGGTTGTTCCCAACAATATTGGCGACTTTTGACGGATCCTCTGTCGGTAAAACCATCCTTGGATCGCCCAAGTAACTGATGTTTGCAATGGTGCCATACAATTCCTGCTCGGTAAATTCAGGAGGTAAAAGTAACAAAGCTGTTCGCAATGCAGAGATTAAATTAACCTGATTCGCGAGACGGACTCTTGCATCGTCCCGCAGAATTTTGACAGGCTTCTGCAACCTCCCTGCAAGGTACAGTGTTGACCACTCGGAAAGATCTGTACACAATGTATCCAGATTAACAACACCATATTTAATAAGAGTGCCATTGACTGTGACGTAGGGGTTGAAGTAGACACCGGCTCCCCATTTTTCTTGCACAGCAGTAACAGCCCCAGATCCGAGGGAGCCGAGCGCCGAGTAATGATCTCGATGTTGATTTAAATTCAGGGAATGCCAATGTTGACTGTAGGATACACCAAATATAAAGTCAATCATCTTAGGGGTGCTTCCTTGTTGTTCAACAATTGCTGGCGGTGGTTTTGAATGGATGGATGTAATGCTTGAAGGTTTCGCTTTCGTATGCTTCGATTGAGGGAAGACGCCGGATCCATACGCAAATGCATACCTAATAGGGGCTCTGAATTGCCACAAGATCTGCCTCAAAGCTTCTTTGAACTCATCGTTGATTACCATATGTTGATTGACCCCAAAATTAGAATGAGGCAACTCTGAGAACTTCTCGATATTGTAATTAGGATTCTCTTCCCAATCTGCCGGGGCTGGAATATCGCTGGGCGAAGTTGACGATTGGGAAGAAGTAGACTGAGATGGGATGGAAGAGGAAGGCGAGGGAGATCTGGCAGACGCTGCACCAGCCGAGTCCTCATGTGCGGGCTTTGCTTGCGAGTCTGCAGTTTCTTTGGAAGCAATGGCAGGACTGTGCGTTGTAGAGAAAGTATAATGTATCAATTGATATGGACATCTTGCCTGAGCGTATGATACTGAGGAGCCAACTCTGGATGATCTGAGAGCTGATCTCAGAGCCTGCCAAAGAGCTGTTAGCTACAGAGCATAGAACGATAGGAAGGGATTTGTGCCAGTACAGGGAGCTTTCGGGTTGCCATGGTATTAGAGTTTTAACAAGACGCGATCCCATGTGAAGTACTTTTGCTTGTCGTTGAAAGAATTGTTCTGAAGCAGCGAGTCGCTGCGAAAGTGTCACCGGCTGTATTTCGCCATATGAATACGTTGTTGCATCTCCATCTCCATGGCAAAGTATGGAGCTACCAAGGGCAAGGAGGGAACCCACCTTTTCTTTCTCGAAGTGAATCTTAGTCAGCAAGCAGTTGAAGCCCCGTGTTTCTTGGTGACGGGAGGGGCCAGCCAGGTACAGATCACTTGGACAAGTCTTGATCTAATAAACTTTCAAAACAGACTTGTGAGCGTTTTGGGGAGAGAGTAGTCCGTATGTATCTAGTACCTGGTGTTATATGTGCACGCACATGCACCGTAGAAAGTATGTGTAGAGCTTCGGAGTCTTTTATATGAACACGCAGGTAGGTAGATGACTTCTTTTGTTACAAGTCAAGAGTCCTGTCTAGCATCACATCTCGATACAACCGGGGAATCAGGGCAAAGTCCCAATGATTTAAATTGATAACCTAGGGTTGGAATAGCGTGGAGGAAGTGTTGTTAATAAGTGTCCAAGGTCAATCAATGCTTGTGTTCCTATTCAAGAGAATTTTGTTGATGAAAGAGCATCCTTTGAGACGCCATATAATGAATGGTCACTGGTCAATCGTCGAATCCCCTATCTAGTACGTATCTACGAAAGTACCGATTATCTATCTATCTAGCCCCTTGGTGCTAGCTCATCTTCTAACCTTTCTCTCCAAATTCACTTCCAACACTCTTCACCCCGCCAACCATTTCCCCATATTTGCCGATTTTCTGTTTTCTCCAGTGCCTTGATTACGTAATACGTATGATCTCCTCTCCAATTCTCAGCCTTGCATCAACCAAACTCATGTTTGCGACAATTATCGACGTAACGCCAAAACACAAATCCGCTGGTAGCGGTACGTATCAGACATGAGGGCGCATACTCCTCAAGGTTTGGGAGATTCTCAAAGAAGAAGATCCTCGACTAGCGGCGGTAATAGAATGAGTATGGGTAGTGCGATTCCTCGTGCGCAATCTAGGGTAAGGAATCAATCTTTTTGTTTGGCAATGTTACTTGTCTCCAATTGCATTTTCTTACGGGAACATAACTCATTAGATGTCTATTGCTGCCCGACCATCGAACACTCAACCCAGTTTCGACTTTTTGACAGGCGCGGAATCCACCCACAGACCGCCATCGCGAACAGATCGATTTCGCCAATCAACCCGAACCATTCTTGACGAATCTAGAAGAGAGCCAACTCACTCCGAGACAGATCAAGAGGCGGAGAAAAGAAGAAAAGAATTGGATGAATTAAAGGCCGAGGTGAAGACGTTGAAATACACAATTGATAATCACAAGCAAGAAGAAGAGCTTGCGAAATTGAGGCATGAAAATGATCTCCGGGATGCGACACGAAAAGCCGAAGAGGACTTCAAGCAAAAACAAATCGCAGAAGGAGAGAGGAATCAGGCAGTGAGGCAATATGAAGCTTTGATTAAAGAGATGCGTGAGCTTCGTGACACTTCAAGTAATGAGAAGATAGCACTGGAGAAAAGAGTGCGTGAGATGGAGGAGGGCAAGCGTCTCTTGGAAGAAGAAATTGAGGATGTGAAAACTGAGAGTGAGGAGGGGAGTCGTATATTGGAAAGGAGAATTTCGGAGCTTGAAACGAGAAATCAGACTTTACAACGCAGCGTCCAAGACTTACAAGAGGATTCTGATCGAAGAGAAGCCTTGTTACAGGATGTTCAGCAACAATTGGCCGATAAAGATACATCACACGGAGCACTTGAGGCTGAAGTTCTACGACTTAAGGCACAGACAGGAGACACCGATACACTGGAGGTGATCAAGAGAGAATTGAGCGAGCAAGTCACACACATTCGAAACCTTGAAGCAATGAATCGAGAACAATCGGCCGAGCTAAAGCATTACAAGAGACTACATAAGAGCGTGGAAGTTGTCGAGGAAGAGAAACGTACTTTACAGAGAAAAGTTGAGGCTATGGATGATCTACAGAATGAACTTGGAGAAGCAAGACTTCAAAGACAAAGACTCGAGGATGAGCGTTTAGCGTGGACCGCATACCTTCAGAATCAGAGCAATGTTGAAGGCCAAATTGAGTTCAATTCCCCAGAAGATCTAGCAAGAGCACTTGTTGAAGAAAGAATGCAAACCGCCACTATGGTGGAGCGACTTGGCGCTTTGGAGTCGGAGGTTCTTGACCGGGATAACATTATTGACGGGTTACAAAATGATAAGAGATCTATGAGCGAGGAGATGGAGAAAATCAAGGCGACCGCAGGAACCAGTACCAGCGGTGGAGATGCTAAGGTTCGTTTACGACTGGAGAGACAACGCGCTTTGGCCATCAAGGAAGTTGAATATTTGCGAGCGCAGCTCAAGACTTTCGATGCTGAAGATGAAGCTTTCGGATCTGGTGATAACGTTGATGATGCGAAAATTAAACGTATCGAGGAGCTCGAGAATATTGTGGATGAATATCGTAAAGAGGTACAATCTCTCCAAAATGACCTTACGACCGCCGAATCGGCTCAACCTAGTACAGCAACGACTCTTGCGGGTACTAAACATCAACGAGAAGAAAACGACGAAAATGAACGCATTGGAGTTCTCACTAGGAAGAACCGGAAACTTCAGGACGCTGTCACGAACCTCCAAACATCACAAAAGCTCCTCCAGAAAGAACTCTCTGTCACACAAGAACGTCTTACAGCCGCAGCCACTCACTCACAGACTCGCATTCTATCCCTTCGTTCTAATCCTACCTCTAACTTCGAGGCCATCAAACTTTCCACCATCACTGCCCTCCGTGCCGAAAATGCAGATCTCCTCGCTCAACTGACCACCAACCTTCCTCCTGAAGCCTCCGTTCCTCTATCTACACTTCAAACTCAACAAGACTTAGTTGCCGAATCTCAAGCCGCACTTAAGGATGAACGAACTCGAAACGATCGTCTCAAGAAAGTCTGGGGTCTTAAATCTCAAGAATTTCGCGACGGTGTATCTTCTCTCTTAGGCTGGGACGCTGTATTCATGCCCAATGGTAAAATGCGCGTCACATCATTCTATTATCCTTCCGTTGGCGAAGAAGAAAATAGTATCGTATTTGATGGCGAAAGAGGAACAATGAAGGTTAGCGGCGGACCGGAGAGTAAATTTGCAGGAAGGATAATGGAAAATATCAAATTCTGGGTCAACGAAAGAGGTAGCATTCCATGTTTCTTGGCGGCGTTGACATTGGAGTTTTATGAGGAGAAAAAGGGAGATGGAACTGTGATGGTTGGTTGAGGGAGGGAATCTGCTTTGTTTGATTTGTGTGTAAATTATGGAATGGTGATGCATCTACGGGATTAGGAGTTTATGGAATACATACGATATGTATGTGGTAGAGAGTATACTAAATGACATATTAATCTTGCTCAATCATTTATTTCATATTAATGATAATATCGGACATTTTTCAACAGCATCTAGGTGTAGGACTGGAGTGATAGGCAAGGTGTCAGTCAATCAACTACAGTTGAAGAATTGCCTTAATCTAATCATCGCTTTCTAACAAGCAGAGCGACTTTTATACAGATTATTGTGAATATCTAGGTATAGTATGTTTATATAAATATAATAGTTATATAGTTATATTAATAAATAGTTCAAATGAGAATAGTATGAGATAGATATATCAAAATTTATATATATATATATATACATACACTTTAAATTCATTTCATTCTTATATACATATATAAAACTTATATCTTTCCTAATATATAATCTTCGGAAATAATTAAAGCTTTTATTTCCTAAAACTATATAGTAAGTTTAGTGCAGGTCTCTGTGTGGATGTTCACAGTAGGTTATAGTCTGAGTCTCTAAGGAAACAAGAAAACCTCTGAATGTCCTTCTGCATTATTCTAATTACTTGCTTCGCTTAACCATCCATCCCCTCACAAGTCCACTCTGGACTCCAAAAACGCAAAGCAAAGATATTAAAATATCAAATATATATACATGGGAATGAAAAAGTCGCCTCTTTTCCACAACGATTCTTTCCATCGTCCTCTTTCCATTCCATCATCCTTTCTTTCTCTCTTTCCTTCCTTTTTGAATCCCTCCTCCATGTGTTATCCCAACCTGAGAGTGCCCATCAATATTCAAAAATTATCCTTCCCTTGACAAGTAGATAGATGGATGGATAAGATGTTCATCCATTTCTCTCACTACTCTACTCGCCAAGTTCTGTTTCCCTCCCTTCAAAAAAAATAAAAAAAATCAAATATAACGCCATAAAATGAGTGTATTGGATTGGGTATCTTCCTCCGTTCATCTCTCCCATTCCATCCATGCGTGCATACATACATGCATTCATTCATTCATACCGAATCAAAAGACCGTGATCTGGCATTTCCACACCATGCAAGCGTATTTTCGTAAAGATCGTAATTTATCATTTTCCCTCGTCAAGATTATGATTAAATATAAGGATCGTGGGTATCATGTTTTTTTGTTGAGCATGTCTTGCTGAGACATGAAAATGAGAAGATCAAAAGAATAAAGGTATAAAATTGATCATGATACGTAAATATGACTGTCGTTCATCTCATCATTTGTGTCGTACAGTCGTAAGAATAAGAGCATATATAAGATATCGGAGCTGAATATCGAATAATGAAAAGAATAAGAAGTAAAATCATATTACTGCTAGCCCATGAGTCCCACAAGCAACATCGCCATCAATGAGAAGAACACTGAAGGCTTCAATTTGCTTCCGAAACCTTCAGCAGGTCCAGTCCCTGAAGCGCTAGCAGATCCGGAGGAAGTGGATGAGAAACTCGTTTGCGGATTCGTTGTAGGAGTTGGAGTTGAGGTTTGGGATTGACAGGATGATTCGGAGCTAGATATCGAGCCAGATCCCGTGCCAGATCCCGAATTTGAACGGGTGCTGGAGCCTGAGCCTGAGCCTGAGCCGGAGCCGGAGCCTATGGTACTTATACTGGGGACGGTCGAGGCTGTTGTGGATGGTGATGGGCTTCCAGCTCCGGTTCCAGTTCTAGTTCCGGTTCCGGTTCTTGTCCCACTTCCGCTTCCGCTTCCAGAAGCTGTCGGGGCACTGACGACCGCTGAAGAAGATTCAGATGGATTGCCGCCGGTGGAAATCGATGTTGAGGAAGTAGAGGATGTATCAACCGGTGCAATCTGGCTCGTAATACTAAAACTCGGGGTAGCGCTTGCAGTTGGGCTCGCGCTAGCACTAGAGCTCGATGCAGCACTCGAACCACTGGTAGTAGCAGCTGGTTTAACTGTGCTACTGCTCACTTCAACTGGTAAAACAGTTGCTGTTACTGTCTTGATTTCGGTTTCCGTACTACCCGAAACCTCACTTTGTGGTTCCTGCGCACTGCAGAATTCCAAGAATTGTGCGAATCGTGGTTCTACATATGTTTGAAAGGTTACTTTCACAGTGTTGCTATTCGCTCTGATACATCCTGTACAAGCCTCATAATAAGATTGGAATGCGGAGCTGGATTCGCAGAGAGCGGGAGTTTTGCCCACTTTGAGTGCTTCAACGTAGCAATTGTTACACACGGAGAAGCAAACTGCGGGAGCAACAGTATTGTCCCGTTTGCTGAGGAGATTGAGATGTGTGGTGTCTGATTTGCGCTTTCCGGCAAAGATTTGGGGAAGAAGTCCGCGACGGGCTGGAGCGGAGGGTGTGGCGAGTGCGGAGGTGGAAAGTCCAGTCTGGGTTCCGGCTGGGTAGTGAGAGATATCTGTTTGGGATGTCCAGTCACCAGTAGTATAAGTCTTGACAAGTTCAGTTCCTTCATTACCAATAATGACTTCGGTAACGACTTTCTCAATAAAAATGCCAAAGCTGAGACCAAACGCATTGGGATTAAGATTGAAGTATCCGGCTGATGGTGGGTAGTATCCAGTTTGATTTTGTCCCCAGTATACTTCAGTTGTATTAGGAGATGGAATACAATATTTGGCTTCACATAGATAGTCTGCAGCAGGTGGATCGGCCCATAAAGCACAATGATCTGGTTTTGGTGGGTCGCAAACGTATCCTGGTGAGCATCCAAAGACTGCTGATGAGCTGGAGTCTTGAGGGTTTACTGAACCAGAATTTGTAGGCGATGGACAGGTAATCAATTCAGTTACGGTTACGGTGGATCCAGGCCCAGTTATGAATGCTGTTGATCCTGTCAAGGTTGCGCCAAGACTTAAGGTCGTTAGATAGATGCTGACGGAACCTGGGAGAGTTGAGATCACGGTTGATCCTGCCTGAGTGAGGGTCACTGTTGGGCCTGCAATGGACTGAGTCACAGTCGAGACTGAGGCTGAACCGGGAAGGGTTGTTACCAAACCAGGAAGAGTAGTTGCTGATCCTGGTAAGGTGGTTGTTTGTCCTGGGGCTGTAAAAGTCGATCCTTGAATGACAGTTGTCTGCCCAGGAAGTGTGGTAACCGATCCCGACAAGGTGACTGTTGATCCGGGCAAGGTTATAGTTGACCCAGGAAGAAGAGTTACAGATCCAGGGAGAGTAGTTACCGATGCGGGAAGAATATTTACTGATCCTGGTAGGGTGATTGTTTGTCCTGGGGCTGTAAAGGTCGATCCTTGAATGGTAGTAGTCTGTCCCGGGAGTGTGGTAATCGATCCTGGCAGAGTAACTGTTGAGGCTGGTAAAGTTAAAGCCTGACCAGGAATTGTTGATCCAGGCAAGGTTATAATTGATCCCGGGAGGGTTATAATTGATGTACTACCTGGCTGAGTTATAATTGTCAAAGATCCTGATATTGATGTTGTAACAGTAGGACCAGAGATTGTCTGAATCAATGTGACTGCAGGGAGAGTAATAGTCGTCAAAGATCCGGATAATGAGACTGTTGGGCCGGGGACTGTTAAGACTGATGTGTTACCAGGTAAGGTGATGGTAGTTAAAGATCCAGATAAAGAAGTCGTGATGGTTTGAGCAGGAACTTTGCCAAGTCAGTGTGGAATCTATCTAGCAGTGTTTATTCACTCACGTGAGGTGGTGACATAGATGTTGGACGTTATCGTTGGGCCTGAAACTGTTAAAACGGAGGTATTACCAGGCAATGTGATAGTAGTCAAAGATCCTGATATTGACGTAGTAATTGTTTGAGCAGGAACTTCACCAAATTAGCTTAACTCTATATAGCAGTTCTCATTCACTTACGTGGGGTAGTAATGTAGACATTGGATGTTATGGTGGGGCCTGAAACTGTCAAAACAGATGTAGAACCAGGTAAGGTGATCGTTGTCAAAGATCCTGATATCGACGTCGTAATTATTGGACCGGGAACTAGACATTATCAGCACAGAATTTAGAGAACCAATCGTACGGGTTTTACCTGAAGTAGTAATATAAGTATCCGATGTAACAGTACTAGCAGGAAGGGTAATCAAGGATGTGATATAAAATTCAGAGGTGATCGTCTTGGTAACGGATATTGTTGATGCGGGCTCTATGACCGTGATTGGGGTCCCAGAGATTGAAGTAGTAAGAGTAACGGGGGGAAGCGTAATGACATCGATTGAGGTGAGCGTTGCGACTGCAAATTTAGTATAAATCAGAAGGCCTCATATTGCTTTGAACTTACTAGATACTGCGGTCGTGGTAGTAGCTAAATTGTATCAGCAGTGTACACGTGAGAAGCATATGATATGTCGACTTACTCTGGAAATCAGTGGCTGTGTAGCTAGCCGTTGTTGCTTTAGTCCAATTAGTTCTAATATCCAACTCTCAAACTTTGAAAGACACTCACTCTCACTATCCGTTATAGTTGCTGTGGCTGTGGTTGCTATTTTTCGGTAAGTCAACAGCCTAGACAATCTAAGACGGGCTACTTACTTTCAGATCTCGTAATCAATGATATATAAGTTTTCGGGACATACTCCGTCGTGGATATAACCTGCGTATATGTTGTTGGGACATATTGAGTTGAGGTGGTCGTATGATCGCTAACAACTGTGGTATATACCGTGAATGGATATGAAGTGGAAACGGTTATCGTTGAAAGATGGATTTCTGTCAAAGTAGCGCTGATCGTGGTCAATTCTGTCAAGGTGGTACTATACGTTGAGTAGACATCACTAGTTTCCGTTGTCGTAGTAGGGACCTGGTTCTTTATTAGCTAGAGCTGGAAGATTCGCGTAATAGGGGCACGTACCGGAGTTGTACTAGTTATCACACTAGTCTCGGTTGTTGTCGTGGGCACCTAATGGAAAATCAGTACTTGATACAAATTTTAATGAAAAGGAAGACAGACTGAAGTAGTGATTGTTGATACAGAAGTCAATTCCTGGGTTGTTGTGTAAGTCGTACTTATATAAGAGGTAGAATAGTAAGTCGTTGAACTAATGATAGTTTGATATATGGTATAAGGATAAGATGTGGAAACTGTCAAAGCGGATGTGGATAAATATGACGAGATGATTGTAGTTGGAACAAGGGAAATTTTGGTCGTAGTAGTCGGTACCAAAATTTCATTCGTTGTGGTGTATGGAATCGAAGTAGTTTTTGTACTCGTCATGCTATACGTTGAAACCGTTGTATAAGTGCTATAGCTAAATTCGGTCGTTGAGGATATCACAGTAAATGGATATGAAGTCGTCTTCGTAATTGTAGCCGTGGAATAATATGAATTCGTAATGGTTGTTGGGACCAACGAAACTTGTGTAGTAGTGGTTGGTATGATGACACTCGTGGTGAGAGTAGAAAGACTGACGTAAGTCGATAAATCTATTATTGTCGTAGTAATATAATTTGTGAAGCTGTGGGTTATATCGTTTATAACTGTCTCACTAACAGTATATGGATAAGAAGTGGTTATATAGGAAGTGTCCGTCGTGCTGTAGGTCTCAATTATAGTCGTATAGACGTAAATATCAGAAATTGATACGGAAGTTGAGATTGAAGTCGAAATATCCGTGACAGTGGTAGGTACAGAGGTTGTGAGAGTCAACAAAGAGGTCTCAGTGCTGTAAATATAAAGAGTTGTTGAGGAAACGACGGTATACGGTATACTTGTGGTCATTAATAAGGTAGAGATGGTTGTAGTAGGTATATATGAGGTTGTCGTCACATAATCAGTTGATATTGAAGTCGAAATATCTGTCATTGTGATAGGTACGGAAGTCGTAAGGGTAATCAGGGAAATTTGAGTGCTGTAGATGTACAAAGTTGTTGAAGATATGACAGTATATGGTATACTGGTGGTTATAAACGATGTAGAGACAGTCGTAGTAGGTACATATGAGGTGGTAGTCACATAATCCGTTTTGGTATCCGTTTCCGTCGTAGAAAATGTAGTTGTTTCCCGACTAGTGTAGTACTCGGTGGTATATTGGGTGTAAGTAGTAGAGTGGTCAGAGATAACAGTTACCGGATAGCTTGTATTCAAAGTATACGTGGAGACAGATGTGAAGAGATGATCTACGGTAGTTGTGATATAGACATCAATCGTTGTGGGTAAAGGTATTGAAGTCGTTGAAGTCACCGTGCTGGTGGTTTGATAAGTTGATACCTCGACTCTCGTGGTAGTTTCCCATAGGGTGTAATTGTTAATAACAGTCACAGGATATGATGAGATAATAGTCAAATCTTGAGTGGTAGTATACGTCGAAGGCTGATATATTGTTGTTGGTATGTAATCAGTTATTTTCGATGTAATCGTGGCAGTCTCATAGTCCGTTTTGCTGGTAATTATGAGTGAGGTGAAAGTCGTTGCGGAATACGATGTGATTGTCGTGAGAGACCCACTTATCGTTTTGATTATGAAAATAGGAACGAACTCTGTGCATGTTGTTGTCACCGTATTTAGCTTTGTAGTTGTATGATCCTGAGTGGACGTGGTAGTAAAACTAGAAGTATATCGTTCAGTAGTGGTCAGGGTACTATACTTAGTTATTGTAATCGGATATCCATAACTATTAATCAAAGTGGTCGTATATGGGATTGAGGTAGTCATCACATCTGTCAATATGGTAGTCTGCCAAATGAAACTTGTTGTGGTCTCCTCATCGGTGATGGTGTTAGTTTGAGTTGTGCGATCCACTTGAGTAGCAGTGAAATTGTAGTTTTTAGTCTATCATGAGAATTAGTACGGGTGAATGAGAAGATCACAGAGGTAATTACTGTTGTGACAAGATCAATCTCGGTGAAGCTAGCTGCAGATACGTTGGTCTATTCATTTTCAATTTTAGCTCATAAACCTCGAAATAAAGCCTAGAAAACATACCACTGTAAGCACATCCGTCAGGGTCGTAATCGCTGAAATGACACTAGGAACACTGGAGCATATATTAGCGAATTTTCTGATATTGGGCCTTTATGCAACGAATTATAGATATCTCATGATTGTAATTCTTCGGCATGACATCCAATAGTCCGGAATGCAGTCCAGCGATCAAGATGTTTAGGACAATGAACGCCTTTCCGGTATTCAAATTCGACTTGATTCAAATATTGAATCAGAACACTCAATTGAACTACAATCAAACAAATAAAACCTCCGGAACATTCAACGTGTTTCAAATATTGAGAGCGATCCAGACATTGAAGTCGGTTGGTTAATAAACCAATTTGAAATACTCACGTTGTCGTAAAAGATTCTGTCTCAGTAGTTTTCTCCGTAACCTTCTCCGTAATCTATTGTATGTCAGCCCGTATTCTCATGGCGATGATGATAGAAGGTCATACAGTTTGGTTCGCAGTTGGGTAACCACCGACAGTTTTAGTTATCTGGCTATGTAAGTATCGGAGCTAATCGTTGAATCATAGTCAGTCAAGAACTTACTTTCTGATTTTGAGTGACTGTCTCCGTGATCTAAAATTTGTCAATAAGTGGTTTTCTTGACTTCTCGAATCAGATCCACTCACAGTACTCCCTCCATATGGATATCCACCACTTGGGATAGAGCTCGCGGTAACAGTAATGGTCTCTGTAACCTTTTACTGGTCAATTGGCTGTCCTTTTATGTACTCCACCATGCACCAAACTCACTGTAGTCCCAGGCCCATAACCACCTCCATTTTCTGAAGTGATTGTTGTTGTAGTCTACCTCCCAGTCAGTAATTATCCCTATGTCCAAATAGAAGATTGCTCACGGTTTGATTCTGATATGCTGTAGATGTAGATATTGAGATAATTGTGGTTGGTTTGCTGGACCGTGTTTAGCATATCTTCACTTTGCTTCTGCTGGCTGGAACTCACTCAATTGTAGTAGTCTCCCAACATGTAGTTGTCGATACAGATAGCTGGGTTGATGTAATAGTTTGTGTGGGACATGATCCATATCCACCTACGGAAGACGTAATAGTCACAGTCTTTGGTTCGCATGTTGAATAATGTCCTTGTCCCTCTGGTGTTATTGGAGTTACAATCGCCACGGTAGTATTTAGATACTGCCCTTGTACAACCCCAATCAACCCCGCTATCAGTACCCCGATATGACAATTGGAGACCATTTTGAAATACTGTCCCGTCGATACAGAATAACGATAGTGTTGATAACAGCAATGATGCTGAGATCTTTTTCGACGAGCGGAGAATAAGAGACGACGGTTACTTGATTCAGGAACGATTGACTGCAGGTAGGTGTATATTATTTGGTGTGCCTGACTATGATATACGACCAAGGTGCGTCAGCTCTAAGGCTGAAGGTTCGGAAAAGTCCAATTGAGGCGATTTGCGACCAATCAAGAAGTCAATTAACAACTCTCCACAGCCATCAGATTGCCAAGGTAACCTTAAAAGAATTCCGAAGCGGTGCAGAAAGCCCACGAGGACTAGTTGAACAACAAGAGACAAGTAAAACGAGCGAAAAGTCCAGACAAAATTGTTTCGAGAGAAAGATCTCAAAATGGAAAAGAGCTAGGGGACCCTAGACATTACGAACCTACGAATACACCACGTTACCTTGACAAATCCACTTTGAATATCACATTCGTGATATGGCAAAGATACAGGGCCAAGTGAGGAGATAATAAAAACGAAGGGTAGTACATGGATTCGCACAAGGGCTATGTGGTGATTTGAGAGAGAAATGGAACATCTGTCTTTCGTCTTACTGACACTAGAGCAGGGCAATTTTCTGGGAGAGCAACGCGGGAAAAGAAATATCCAAAACCACGAGCCTCAATGGGACAACACATTTTACTGTGCATGTTGTACCTATCCTTGACTAAGATGTAAACATCTTAGCATGCGATATACGATCCTTGCATGCTGTCGTCCAACAGAAAATGATATGCATCTTGGCAAGCGGATCTATAAACCCAACGCAATTCCTTGGATGGCTTTCGCATATCACTACATGATATCGGAGCAAGAAGAACACCGTACAACGGATTGCCACCTTCTTTGCATGACCGAACAATCTTTTTTTCCAGAATGGCATGTTAATTAAAATGTTTGTTTACCGTTGGGAGGTAAAGATCCCGGACTTCTAACCTTGCCATATTATTGCAGCCATGTCTATTTTGGGGGCTATTCCGTGTAGCTGGGTAGTTTGGCTGAATCAAATGAACCATGAAGATTTTTTGTGGCCTACCAACTGTTATCCAAGGAATCTGCAAAGCGGTTGAATAAGAGATTGACAGGTGACAAAGTGTGATGAGAGGCTGAGTGGCAGTGGAGAACATGTTGGACTTTCAGTGGAATTCTGCTTACTTGGTAGGAGAGGGTGGTGAGTGTTGGTTGGGTATTGGGTTTTTGGGTATTGGGTATTGGATGAATGAATGAATGAATGAATGGGAAGAGGGTCTTGAGGCTATCGGGTAAAATCTCACTGCAGCACTTTTTACTTGTTCACTCTTCCACTCTTCCCTCTACTCTTCCACTCTTCACTCTCGCAATCGTCATCATGGTGACTCGATTGCATGCGACGGAATCTGCAGGTGATCGATTCTAGCCTTTCGTTGCCTCCATTTTTACGATGTTTACATATGTAGAGATGTCTGGGTAGAGATAGCAAATGGCTAATGGATGAAGGAGGTCGAGAGTAGCGAGAGTAGGTCGTAGTGTATGGAGGTCGAGTGGGAGGTCGAGAAACGGAAAGAAAATAAGACGTGGTTGGTGCGAGGTACAGTTTAGTGGGGTCAAATGGTGGGGTGGCTGGGTGGATCATACGTTGCAGCAATGATTGGTCAAACGTGCATTTTTCTATCGCTATCATTGGAGGATGAAGGATGAAAAATGTGGAACATTCGCTTAACCTCAAGCACCCTCCACCCTCCACCCTCTCAGGAAAAATCGTTAAACTCGTCGTTGATTCTATTGAAACCTCATTATTCGCTCATTATTTTATCCATGTGTGCTCGTATTGTCTTTACCACACTTTCACCACACTCCAAGGACTCCCTCTGACCACACTTGGAGACTTTCACATCAACATGCCACACACACATGTTTATACATTTTTTCATTCACTCCCACCAGTGCTAAGTGCTTACTAATTCAAACACAACATTCATTCATTGCTACCTATATAATAATGTTACCACACCACTTCCTCCCAGATTCATCTAGAGCCTCAACGAATCATGCATGATGTACTGACTCCTGAGTGAGTGAATCTTGTTGCGGTGGCTCGGAAATCCTCATTACCCCACTTTGCGGATAAACAACCGAACAAAGTCAAGCCCCGCCATTTCATTCGATTTTGCGGAGTAATATCACGAGCAATCAAAAGTGGAAGGTCGAAATAGGAAGAAAGAAAAAATTCGAAAGGCACTACATAGGTAAGATTACTACCTAGTAGGTATTTATTTATTTATTTATTTATTTATTTCTGTATTTCTTTGGAATTTTCTCATTGGAAAGACAATCGACAACTTCTTTTTGCAACTTCAAATCTGTGCATATTTTGGCGTCACCCTGAAATCCAGAAGGAAATATGCCAGAAAAGATCCTGGACGACATCTCACACAGGAGATTTAACCCATTGCGAGGTACCTGGCTTCTTGTCTCCCCTCATCGTACTAAGAGACCATGGCAGTAAGTTTGGGAATCCTTCTGGAAACATGTAAATACGCCCCGGATAAATGCTAACATATATAAAAGAGGACAGCAAGAAGCGGCTTCGAAGATTACACTTCCGGAATATGATGCTGCGGTATGCCGGAGATATTCCCGAGTCAGATAGCGAAGACTAATGTGCACTATAGTGTTACCTATGTCCAGGAAATAAACGCGCGCAGGGAGATTCAAACTCACAGTATAAAGACACTTTCGTTTTTGTGAATGATTACAGCGCGGTTAAGGAGGTTCAAGCTGAGTATGCGCAGGATGGGGAAGCAAAAGGTCCGTTAACGCTTGCCCTCCTATCTTCCAGCTCTCCTCTCCTGGCCTAGATACTTGCCCTTCTTTCCATATATCAAGGCGAAATCTAACAAAATCATGTAAACATTCAGATCTCTCGAACACTCTTCTACGCGCGGAGCCTGTTACAGGAAAATGTTATGTTCTAACATTTTCTCCCTCGCACAACCTCACACTCGCAGACCTCACCCCTGCTCAGATTCTTCCCGTCATACAAACATGGACAGAGATCTACGCCGCACATTTGTCTCCTTCCTCGCCCCTGGCAAGTGTCGCTCAACCTACCACCCTTGCACCCTCAGGTCATAATATTGGAGCCCCAAATCAACAGTACAAATGGATGCAAATCTTCGAGAATAAAGGTGCCGCAATGGGTTGTTCGAATCCCCATCCCCATGGCCAAATATGGACTACAACCGGATTACCTGAAGAGCCCGCTTCCGAACTTGTTAATCTCCTCAAATATCGTCAGGAAAATTCTGGTCGACATTTATTGGAAGATTATGTCAAGCTTGAGATGGAAAAGGAAGAACGAATCGTATTTCAGAATGAGAGCTTCTTGGTAGTTTGTCCATGGTGGGCAACCTGGCCATTTGAGGTTATGGTCATTAGCAAGACACATAAAAGAGGTCTGGTTGATTTGAACGATGCCGAGAAATTGGGATTTGCGGAGGCTGTTGCGGAAGTCACAAGAAGATATGATAATTTGTTCGAGACTAGCTTTCCTTACAGTGAGTACCCTCAAGTCTCATTGTGCATTCATTTTTTTTTTTTGAGTATATGCATATACCCCTCTCACTATTTCTTCTTTTGTAGGGCGGGAAGTTTTGGCTAACCGACATAGGCTCCGGCATTCACCAAGCTCCCTTGGAAGGTACCGAGGAGGAGATCAATGCTTCTTACTTGCATATGCATTTCTATCCTCCCCTTCTGAGAAGTGCAACCGTGAGAAAGTTCTTGGTCGGATATGAATTAATGGCCGAACCCCAAAGAGATATTACCCCAGAGCAGGCGGCTGCTAAGCTAAGAGCATGTGGTGGAGAACTATATAGGAAGAAGTTGTAGAGGCTTACATGGGAATAGCCAATTGGCAAATAGAGGGCTTGTGCATGCATGTCAAAAGATAAATCTAGAACTTAGTAAGATTCAATAAACACATTCTAGACATATATCTCGCTCAATCAATGTACGTACCCTCTGATATAAATGCTAGCTCGGCTATCACAACGCGTATTGAAGCCGTTAAAACTCCGGGCTAGCGTCATTAACAGGGCTTTTGGTCTAGTGAGTGAAATATAGAGATGGACATTGACTTTAGAAGGAGATGATTATCGGATCAAAATCGAACTGGAGATTTACCGGGTGTCAATTGAGTAGATGAAGTACCCTCGACGTGCCGTCTAAAGTCTAGGCTCTAGGCTTTTGGATAATTCCTAGTGTTGATTGTTGTTATGTCCCGAATGCAGAGTGGATTGACATCCCACGAGCCAATTATCCGATTAGGATTAACGCATTATCTTATCAAACTAATAAATCCTTTATCCAGCTAGGTTATGTAGCCCACATCCATCAGGCAAAAAGAGGATACCATAGAAAGATCCCCTCAACCCCGTAAGTAACGACCAACACCAACATTGACCCGTCTACTGCCTTCCTACTTTCCCAGTCATAACCTGAGAAGGATTCTTCTGCCGTACCGTGTGATTGTCGCCATCATGCTTCCTACAGAGTACATCGCGTCGCTACACATGTGCAGAATGCCGATTTCGTACTCGCGGCTTTTTTTACTCTATGATCCAGCAACAACCCGTGAGACACCAAAAATGTAGTTTCTCATGGAACTGACTCAGTAAGCCATCAATCTGCTGGTTTCTGATAGACATCTGCCACTTTCAACGCCCGTTCGTGTTGGAAGTAAAGACGTGCAACTCATATTCATATCTCTCCTTGAAACTACTTTTTCGTTGGATACAATGGAGATCGGATGAGTTTGCGTTGGCATCAGCTGAATTATTTTCCACCCACCCACACAAGGCTGATGGGTTACAGGGAATTTTTGAAGGCTAATTAGTAAGTCCCAATCCGTATCAATATTTGATACCTTGTCAAATTGTCCGTTCAGTTACCCTGCTGTTGCAGCATGCAAGTTCAAGCATTCCCCCCACCAATCCTCAGTCGATCTCCATTAATCCACTCAGAGCGGGCACATTCATGAGAGGTCATTGAACCGATGGTAGGGTCGCATTTTTTCCTTTCCGTGCGTGTGCATTGATTGATACAGTCAGAAAGAATTGTCATCTTTGGATGCCAAATTCTTGCTCAGTCTCGATGAACATCAGGCATTAAAGTCAAGGCTTCGCTGGTGTTGGTGGCGGAAGTGGCAACAATCTTTATCGATCGTTATTGGTGAAGGGAAGAGAAAAGTTTAGTGCAGGTACATACATCCACGATACAAGTTATTTTGCGATGCGCCGGCCCTCTTCAATCTTCAATCTAAAGCGCACCACGCACAGAAGGGTTTCCAACCTTCATAATTGTTAATCATAATGATTCGGTCGAGTATTGTCTACTGGGTTGCCGCCCTCGTCCCGTTATGTTTGGGACAAGAAGCGACATGGGTTGACGATCAGGTAAATACGACAATGTGTTACTGGACATCGCCCCGAGGTACGTTTCTGCGAACATGACGTTTGGACGTTCGTACGCTTTAAGTTTTTCACTGCAACAGCAATTGACGATAATAGCTGCGGTGGTACGAGACACCTTCTATATTGACGGAGGAGAATTAGCCTGGTTGCCTGGTCTGAGTAATGGAACATACGGTCCTCTCAACGTCGATGGTAAGTTCAAATGCTCGAATATTCAGACAGTACTTACTTTCTTTAAGGAAATCCACTTGGAATTGTATACCTCCTCAACTTTAGCACTTCTTTTCATGTATCAGACAATATTTCTTCTATCTTTACAACAATAACCAAGGGTGCAAATGGGGGACTCGCCGGTACTCTGGGATCAAACTATGTTGATGGGGCAATGTTTGCAAACGACGACGAATGGTACACTTATGGCGGGCTTTTGTCTTTGACGGATGGCTTTCCAACGCCAGACGCCGACTCTGCTACATTATTCGAAGTCTACTCAGATGGTACGCCTTTCAAAATATTCAAGCCAACCTTTTATCCAATCGACCTACCAACAAGCTTGACAAGATATGTAACATACGGAGGAGCCGTTAGCATTCCGTCCGAGAATCTAGGATTTTACTTTTCGGGATACAGAGCCGCAAACTTTGGACCTATTTTTGAGCATCCAGGCCCAAGAAATGCGTCTTTTTTAGCCAATGTCACATCTCAAACTTTGACCAGTATTGATATGGCGAGTCAAGGCAAACCTAAGTGGTCTAATGACTCCTTACCATCGACTGTTCCCGGCCGTGCTAATCCCGAAATTGCCTGGATTCCTGTTTCGGACCAGGGAATATTGGTCGCAGTTGGCGGAGTTGTCGATCCATATTATTCTAGCATTTTTGAGACCAACGATGCACCTATCAATGAACAAAGCGTGAGTTGTCGCTCTGGCATACTATAGCATATTAATTGATTATTAATAGAGCAAAATCAGTCCCGGCTTCATGACGAGTGTTTCCATCTACGACATCGCCGAAAAGGTTTGGTACGAACAAGAAACATCAGGAAGCTTTCCAGGGGCATTGACCCAAGGATGTACTGTAGTTGCATCAGCAGAAGATGGTTCAAGCCATAATATATATTGGTATGGAGGTTTTGATGGTATTCACCCCACGCAAGCTTTCTCAGATGATGTTTATGTTCTTTCGATCCCTTCATTCATCTGGACGAAAGTTTACACTGGAAGCGATACTCACGGTCGGGCTGGACACAAGTGTGTCAAAGCATATCCTGATCAAATGATCGTTTTAGGTGGACACCCCGCTCTTACTACTGAAAGTCCACATTGCCTTGAAGGTAGTATAATCCAAATATTCAATCTCAGTAACACGAAATGGCTGGACTCTTATGACCCTTTGGTTTGGAGTAACTACACTGTACCCAGTCAAGTTGTATCTGCGATCGGAGGTTCTGGGACTGGTAGCGCTTCACAGACTAAACCATCTGGAGGCTTCACGAATTCAAGTATGGCAGCACTCTTAGAAACTGCCTACAACACAACCAAGATCACAAATTGGTATCCGTATACGCCAGCTTCGTCAATTCCTCCAAACAACCGAACACTTCTTCCTACACCCGTCGCTAAGAAATCAGGAACCCCTTCATACCTCGGACCTGTTTTAGGCGTCGTTCTGGGTCTCTTCTTCATCACCCTTCTCATTTTAGGCTTTATCATCTATCGTCGTCGCAAGATTTTTGGCCTCTCGCGAGTGGATCGCCAAAGTGAAGCTGGGACCCTGTATGAAAACCGCCGACGTACTCTCCGATGGCTCTATTCTACTCCTAGAGATGTAAAAGCTCCTACTGTCACAACTGATGAAACGGAAGTCAATGCGGTATCTTCGGAAGCTGACACTGATCACACTCGCGTATTTGCCGCCGAAATGCCAGGTGATACACAATTTCATGAAATGATGGGTATGTGACCGCTCATCCTTTGACTTCAAGAATAAAAATTAACGAGCTTTGCCTTTTAGATACATCTCAACCCTCCGAGCTCCACAACACAGGCTTCGTGCCTCTTTCCCCTAAGTCTAATGTTTGGAACACCATTTCTCGTAACCAAACTCCCATCACCCATTCTCCATCCGCAGGTTCCAATCACTCGCATGCTAGTTTCGTCTCTCGAGGCTCGGGTCCAAGATCCTCTCCCATTTCTCCTGCTCGCGCAGATAGTGTGACACTCCATGGGCAGGCAGGAGGCACTACAAAAGAGAGGATTCACAGTGACTTGAGTAGTGTGACTGAAAGCGAAAGAACTCACCTAAGACAAATCAGTGACGCGAGTGTGAGTGTAGATGGAGATTATGGGAATTTACCGACGCCCGAGATACAGATTGAAAAACCGCATGATGAGGAGCATGGAATTGAACAAGTGGTTGAGAAACCCGGATTGGTCAGTCCTTTGACGCCACCGCAGGGGGTGGGACAAGGGAGGCAGCATTATTTTGGTCCAGACAGTGTTGGAAGCAGTTCTGTACAGAATGTACCGGTGCCTGAAACGAGGAGGAAAAGTAATTTTGAAGAGAAATTGGATGAGTAGATTTGAGGGCAATTATAAGTACATAGTATCCATGGAAGGAAAAACGAAAAATTTACGAATCATGACGGCACTTGAGTGGGTATTTGGCGGGAGGAATAGGATAGTAAAGGCATTGAGGGTCGTTAGAGATGGTTTTTACGGATGTATATCTCATGAAATCATTTCTATAGCTTTGAATTTAGTTTCTAGTCTTTAGTTTTAATCTTATACCTTTATCTTTTCATCTCTGACAAAATTAGTTAATCTCATTCAAAGCGTAGGTTAATACTTGATCAATTGAAAATGGTAATCTTTCTTCAAAGACACATGCACATGCACACTCGAATGTTCGGTGGTTTTTCATATATGCCTACTCTATCCATCATACTGAATAGTGTGATACATATCAACGGGTTTTTATCCGGTCGGGTACCTGTTTTCTTCATGGACTTGGATTGAAGGGTGACATCGGCATCCAAACTTGTATGACATTTAATACTCGTGGCTGGTAATATGAGGGATGACTGGTCCGACATCCAACGTTTGCATTTATGGTATTGCCACATATATCTACAGAGCAAAGAAACGAAAAATCTAGATCCTAACGTTCTTGCATAATTTAGCAATGGTACCCATCGAATCTTTCCCTGCAGCACACCATCTCGGGAGCTCGGTTCGTCAATTAAAATCTTGGGAGGATAGCAAAGCAAGATGGCTGGATAGCGGATAGCGGATACTCCTTGCAAGGTATGGAAATTCGAAAAGGTCTACATGAGATGAATAGAGTAATCAGAAATCAATAAAGAGAAGTGTGCGGGGCATCTCTTTCCTTCCAAATATCACGGATGCCACCTTCCTGCACTCCGAGCGCAGCACAGCACTCGGTATTGATTTTTCGTATCCGTTGAAGATCTCATCTTCATTTACGTAGGTGGTGCGTGAGAAGTTTGGTAAGGGGATATTGATGTGCTGCTCAATTCAATTCAATTCAATTCAATTCAGTTCGATACAGAAGGAGATTATCATGCGAGCGCGGCTTGCGGTACGGCGTACCCGAGGAGGGGGTGAATCGATGTTGATGTAGATAGTGAAGATTGTAAAGTGGTGTGGACGAGAAGAGGGGAATTAGACAGGGGTTGTTCGGCTGGCTGGTTTGGGATGCGGGATGGGACTTGTGGGAGATTAGAGATGTGACATGTGATATTGGATTCTGTCTGGGGATGGTATAGATGATCGGGACCGAGATATAGGTTGTAGGCCTTGGCGTGTAGATACAAACGAGAGGGGCAGGTCTGCTTGGGTTTGGAGTCATGTGTTTTTTTTATGATGGGATGAGTTTGAATTTTCTCGGTGTGTTTGTTGTGTAGTTTTCAATTCTTGCTTGGTGTGTAGCTCTTCCAGAAACTTCTTTAAATTCTACTCGATGCCGTTATGGGTTCGCTTATGATTCTTCTCTATCTTTCATACTACTAGGTATCATGGAGGAATTTCTATGCCATTGCGAGTGGAAAAGGATGGAGGAAGCGAGATAGGGATAAATTGGGGGATGAATATGTTGGTAATAGTCGATGTCTAGATTGTTGTTTTGTATTGTGCCTCCATCTCATAGTAGTAGTTTATCACTCAATAGCAAGCGTTTTGTTTGGAGGAAACGCTAATCACAATATTGGCCAAAGACTTGATGCTTTTTAGTTTCATCAGTACAAGCTCTCCTCGATTATTTTCGTGCACGTCCCTCGAAATAGTAATCTGAATAACGGACCTGTTTCGCAAATCTACGCTTGTTTTCTTGCTCGGTAGGCTTTAGTTGTATGTCTTAACAAGATCTAAGTTCTCCTCATCTCTTGTCGAGACAACTTCGCTTAGTTCCCATATGTAACTCCAACCTAAGCATCCACTTTCGCGTATATTGTTCTCTCTTAACTTCTTATGCTCGCGAATCTGATTCAGCAGATGTTTGTACACATTAGTAGACTTTTCCCTTCCTTTCTTTGCATGATGAACCTTATTTCCAAGTACTTTCTTACCACCCATTAACTCATCAACTTTCTTCCTCTTTCCTCCCTCCATTCTCATCATCTGGGAAAGTAAGTATATACATATCTTCAAAAGCAATGAACAATCATTCTCACCCTCTTATACGTCAGCCTCAAATGAAGAGTATGTGGCCCTCTAAAATCCAGATTATCGAACTTGTTATACATATGGAGAGACTCGGTAATTTTCAATCTCGATTCTCTAACACAGCCCTTCGAACAGAAAAGTCAAGTAGAACCTTCTCTTTGTATAAGCCCAATTTATTGTTTAAGAAGATCCTATGCAACAGCGACAAATCTTCGTCGGATATTATGGCGCTTGATGGCATTCATGAGTGGAGAATGAAGTTCAAATTGAACTTATAAAAAATGAAGGAACATCTCTGAATTTACCAATCGTCCATGAATTCGATGCAGAACCGACTGCTTGTGCCCTGATCACCTAGGCTGAAATGATGCAATGGAAGTTCTTGGTCCTGTGGTGATATAGAATGTAGAATGTATCACTGTAACGCACAACAGGAAGATCTACGAGTAGAGGGACCATAGCTTTCCGACCATCTTGATACTTCTTTCCTCTCCACACAGTCCATCAACTTTAACCATCCGCTCACTACAATAGACATTCAAAGCTCATCCTCACAAATCCTTCGATCCGCACCCCTTTCTCAACCAGAAAATAGCCGAGCGCGCGCAAATATCTCAATATGAACAACAGCATAACAGACGCGAGTATTCTCTCGTAGCAAAGAAAATATTTGGCACTAGACTCATCGCCGTGATACAAGCAGAAATCAAAAATTTGACAGACTAAGCCGACGTGGAAATCACAACAGGTATAGCAGGACCGAATTGAATGGTTGCATATCACGGGTTGAAGGAATGGTTGTCCAAAGTCAAACCTATCGCTGGGACTATCGATAGAAAGCATCGGAACACAGAGGAGGTAGACATCATCCGAATTCTGTACATCATCGCGTTTTGTTGACTCAAAGGATGCAGCGCGGTTTGCGATATCTCGTGCTACATTTCAGAATTAAGAAAGCTTCGACTCTTGATTCAAACTACAACGCACGACTCGTCCAAGAGAAACCCAACTACATGTCGAACTTTGAATCTCCGTCATACACTTAAAACTGCTAAATGAATGGGTACGAGCCGGATCTTTAGAATTACTTGAGGTGTTGCAGTCTAGACGATAGGGAGACACCGGTTTAAGGTATAAATTCAAGAATCTAATAGCAAGAGTAGTATATCTAGAACCCGGGATTACGTCACAAATTTGAGGAAATGCTGATTGAAGCTAGAAAAATATTCTGGTGATTCTCTCCATGAATTCGAGTCAACAACTTTAGTTTTTCGACAGTCAGTCACAAGATGCTAAATTCAACGAGATTCACACAAGGTTTCTCGCCTTTTCGCAACAATTTCTTTGCAGAACTTTCTGAGTACCTTTGAAAAATATTTTTTAGATACCACAAATCATATGACCATATGCATAATTCGATGGGTGACTTAGATATTGGCATCACTTGAACTCCTGGACTGAATTCGATCCACTAATGTCTGGGCATAGCATCGTTTGCAACTAACAGGTGTTTGGATATAAGAAGACAACACCAATTGACGTTCACGTAGTTTCCCCGCGTGCTTTCATATAACCGAATGCAGAAAATCTCATGGCCACGCGACTCCAGGTGGCTTGCTTGTCTTGTGGCCCATTAGCTGGATCGGCTGTGTCAGAACTTCGCTCCCAGCTGCATGCCAGGCTTTGATTTTCAAAACAATTACATATCCGTTAAAGAATTCAGCCTTTTGACACCAGTCTAACATGATAGGCTCTGCTGCTCTTGTTACACTCATTGTTATCCGGAAACGGAAGAGCTCAGCATGTCTGGGACTCTAGTTGCCTTGAAATGTTCAAAACGTCCAGCTCTTGGAGGACTTGTACATTATACACCGACCGTTCAAGTATCGGGATCAAACTCGAGTGAATACAGAGCAGCACATGCTGCTGCAGTAGGGCAGGAGAAAGGCGTGTGGGCCAATGCTGTCTTCGGAAAATTGAATGATAGGGGTCTCGGCAGGGTTTACCTGCATTTCAAAGTCTCAAGAAACGCAAGACTGTCTGCCTTGAGGTCATATGGCTGGCCAATTACCAGTCACATCGATATAATTAGAAGAGCTGCTGGATTCGTAACTTTAGCGGAGGTCGATGTGTACAGATCAGTTCCACCAACATGTGTGAGAAGATGGTCTGTCCACCTTGCTGAAATGATAGTCAAGATTCATTTTGAACAGGTGAAAGCAAATCCATATCTCATACGTATCCGCCAAAGGAATCTAGAGTAGAAATGACATTCTTTCCCGGAGAAAAATCGTTGCTCATCACATGTGTTTCCTTGGGTTGAAGCAGGTGGCCTTTCTCCCTGATAATTGGAACATCCTAGCATGGCACCTTTACCAACATGTGGAAGTGTGTTTCCACTCCTGTACCTTTTGTCAAAATCCACCATTGAAGCTGCGAACGGCAACACCTTTGAATGTGACCCGAGTACATTCCTTTCAGTCAGTGCGAATTACGATGTCATTAGGTATTTTTATGGGAAGATGCAATGTCACAGCAAACAGTTTGGTATAGATCAGGGACCATTCAGATGGAACCCGTATGAGTTGATAGCCAAAGATATATCCTTTTTGTCAGAAGCGGGGTCACAATCATGATCCCAACCTGGAAACTATGTTGAAGAACGGCCAAACTAGCAAGATCATCTTCGGTAGCTGGGACTCTTGTGAGAATGTATGCTCAGTATTCTATGTTGAGACTGGCTTATGTGACTATGATGATGAGCATGCCTAATGAATCGGGGCCAGGTTTAGAGGAGGATACTAAACCTCTTATTGCTCTTGCTCAGTTGACGTGAAACTTTCCTGTTGGTTAAGAAATAAAATTCTTCTCATAATATAGAAGACCGTATAAGTCGTTGACATCCAATCCATGAAAATAGTTTATAGTACAGTGTGATAATTCAAGTGTTTAGGCTATGATATAAACCCCTGCGGACTTATGGCGAGTTTGCCGAGGTTTCGGCATCTTCTCCACAAAATATGGAGACACCACTATTGACAACGCATTTTCAGCTACAGTAGATCTAAGCACTAGGTATGTAAATTAAAATCTGTATGATAATCACTGCACAATTTTCCCTTTTGCTCTCTTGATCTTATCTCCATTTTCTACTCTGCACATCCCTCAACGATACCCCGCCATCGCAAATCCCACAATATGTCCACCGGTACGCCCCTCAAAAACACATTGCTATCCTTTCCAACAGCTTCCACTCTCCTCATAACGATCAACCGGCCTTCATCCCTCAACTGCCTCGATACCTTTACCCATAACGAGCTCGATCGGGTTTTCAGATGGTTTGACGCTGAGCCCGGTCTTCGATGTGCCATCTTGACGGGTGTCGGGAGGAGTTTCTGTGCAGGCGCAGATCTCAAAGAGTGGGATTCCAATAATTCGTTATCTACTTCTGCCTCAAGTCAAGCTCGTTCGTTACCGACATCTGGTTTTGGAGGCTTAAGTCGGAGAGGCGGAAAGAAACCTATCATATGTGCTGTGAACGGGATATGTTTTGGAGGTGGCTGTGAGATGATTATAAATGCGGATATGGTGATTGCAGAATCTCATGCTGTGTTTGCGTTGCCGGAGGTGAAGATCGGAGTTGTGGCCCTTGCTGGAGCATTGACTCGGCTAGTTCGGACGGTAGGAAAACAAAGAGCTATGGAAATGGCTTTAACGGGAAGAACACTTGGGGCTGAAGAAGCGATGGAATGGGGGTTGGTCAATAGAGTTGTAGGAACTGGGAAGAGTGTTGAGGAAGCCATCAAACTAGCGGAGCTGATTGCAGCAAACAGTCCAGACAGTGTCATTGTGAGTAGAGAAGGCATTAAGATGGGATGGGAAGGTGTTGGTGCGGAGGAGGGCACTAGATTGATCGAACAAAATTGGTACAGTAGGATGGACAAGGGCCCAAATATGAAGGAAGGAGTGAGGAGCTTCGTGGAGAAGAGGAAACCGAATTGGGTACCCAGTAAATTGTGACTTTGCGTTTTTTTTTGTATTTAGCTAGATTATATCCCCTCCTGTTGAGCAGTCATAAATTGTATATCATGAAACATCGCACATGCGCAATTTTCAGAGTGAACCTATCTCATCTCGTCTTCCCTACAATGGATGGAAAATGCCTCACATTGTATCTCATGGGTAGGTACTTACCATTAGCTCAATACATTCCGCCCCTCCATGGCCTACCCAGTCTGTTTTCCCCCTTTAAATCCAAAGTATCAAGGTAACTAATCCATCCCTTCTCATGCCATTCCCTCAAATCACATCCCACCTGGCCCGCCTCTAACGCGATGGCATTCACAGACAAATACCCCGTCTTCCCTTCTATCCACTGGGTTGGCTTCCCATCCACCTCTCCTTCCTTCGGGCACATCTAAACCTCTCTTTCACCCTCTTCAACTTCCTCCCCGTTAACCTCGCTAACCCCAAGTTCCTTCAAATTTACCTTTCTCATTTCCCCATTGTGGAACTTCAAGCCAGTAGCGAAAGGCCTCACACCACAAATACCACAAAACCACCAATCACGCTCTTTATCAAAACATTGATAATCCCTCATTCCCTGATCCTGCCATCCACCTTGTTCATGTGGCATTCCTGTGGGACTCAGAAGCATGAAATCATTTGGAGAATCCGGAAGTCGGATGTGAAAAAGACCCATTTTATGACAGGTGGTACAGTTGCATTTGCGGAGGCGCACGGTAGTTTTTGCAGAAGGTGTTGCTTCGATCACGGGGGGTGGAAGACTCATGAATATGACGAAGCGAATCAGTCCGCAGTGGCAGGAACCATGGTAAGGTTTACGAGTGGCTGTAGAAGTCGTCGTACAAGTTGATGACATCTTGATAATTTAATGGTGCTACGTGAGCAGCCTTTTAACCTAGAAATCAGTTATTTTACAATAGATGGTTGTATGTCTTTGGATTTGAAACGTTTATATTCCGAATATATCAGAGAGGTGAATGCTATTTATACCCCGCAGTGGTTGGATAAGAGTGCAATATCCTTATCTTACAGCGTTGCTTCTCACGTCATCAGTTGTCAAATGCAAGGCGTGAAGACGCGGTGAAAGGCGCATATCATGTATCTAATCAATTGCAAACGAAGAATATTTCCCGTACAAGTCACGAAGTCGGCTGGTTTTGCGAGACGGAGTTTCTGGTCAATTTTGAAGATGAATGCGTAATTGCGATAACAGCATTGCTCTTGATCTACCGACCCGGTTCTACCCCCACTGTTGTGTAGCCAGGAACATGGAACATGGAACATATTCTATGTTTCATTATGGAGAAGATCAGTCTGGCCCATGCTTGCATTTGAACCAGAGGAAGTGGATCGGGGAAGAAGCAAGGCAAAGAAGAGAAATAGGTAATAAGTACAAAGTAAAACCGCGTTTTTTTTGGGTTCTCTGCATCATTTTGAAGAGCAAAGAGGCAGAAAGAGAACTGTTTGCAGCATGAAAGCCTCATCGAAGCGGGCGCCGTAATTCTTCCTCCCTTTTCATTGATTCTTCAATTCTTTAGCAACGCGTTGTGTATTGCACTCACAGGGAATAGACACGAAATGTCTTAGCTACTCCTTTCTAGCTTGCCACCCTCTGCACCAAAACGAATGCCGCTCATAACCTCCTCTATTGCACAAAAGATAACATCAACCAATTCGATTAAGGTACCGTGTTCTCATCCAGCTAATGACGCCACTTCAGCACTCGTACGGAATGCCCTATCCCAACTGTCTCGCCATTCACATGTCCGTAAGAACTGCGATAGTCAGCTTTGGAAAATCGGGATACGTCGCTGACTCATGAGAATCTCGTGTCTCTTGTAGGGCTTCGACGTGTAGTACACGAGACTATGCGTGCATGCTGACCTGCAGTATGATTTCAGTGCCAGTGATACGATCCTGTCACTAGCCAGATCTCCTGCTCAGCAGAGTTCTATATTCTGTGCCTCAAGAAACAACTACAGTTATGATTATCTTGAGTACAAAGCACTGTCATGATATTTGAAGCAATAATATTGAAGAGTGCAGGCCAGATCACTAGATTGGCCATAAGCCTCTGTGGGAATTTATTCCGTTGCTCGGTTGCCCACGAAGGCGCCCTGCTTTACTGCAAGTCTCAGCTCATGCTATGCATACTGTACTTCGTAGTAAGACCTACATAGAGGATTGTCAGCATAAAACCCGTGACCCGGTTTTTTAATACACACAGCAGTTTACCTTGGGCGTTCTGTGTAAGTTATTTCGTCCATCACTTACGCCTCTACTCTATGTGCATCGAGTACTTTTTTGAGTTGTTCAAAAAAATACACACACGATACGGCTGAGATGATTTCATTGAAAGCTATCACAAGGAAACGAAATGCTGTAGCTAAAGAAGCATCATCCAACCTATCATTGCAATAATAATATGTTGTTGCATGTTACCATTTCACATCAGCTCAAAATTCAATGCTCACCAGGCGCGGGGTAATTTAGCGCCTTGGCAATTCTCTCGTTTACATCGCGTATGTCTTCGCCCGTCAAGAGGTATATTGGGGACATCTCAAAACATTTCTTTGGCAAACCCAACATACCGCTCATCAAAAGAGGACTCACCCATAGGTTAAGTAGATAGTAGTTCAAATCTCGTCTGACCGAAGTCTAGGATGTGGCACTTCTCGTATGATCCAGACGCGACTCTCAGCTCATATACATTAAATCATCATAAGAGTCGAAGCCTGTCTTCATCTAATTATCCCTAGATTCTCAAGAGTGCTTTGCTATATCCAGTCTCAATGGCACTCAAACCAGATACCTCAATGGAGGGCACACCAGAATCATCTCAAATATCTGTGCTTTTCCTCGCATATGACACTTTCAACACACTTGATATTCATGGACCTCTTGACGTGCTAGGAAACGTCGCACTCAGCGCAGATCCTTTCAAACTTACAATCGCAGCTCAACATGATCTCATAACTTCGGCCGAAGGAGCAAAGATCCAACGTCACATCTCTTTTCTCACAGCCTTTGAAACCCTCGAGAATTATGATATTCTCATCCAACCCGGGGGTCTTCCCGACGATATCTTTCCCCATCTATATCCACATACAGATAGTACATTCTCAGACATGCTCAAAATTATCAAAGAATTTTCACGACTTGGTCCATCACCTCGTTTACAGAACCGGCGGGTGATAATGTCGATATGTACCGGAGCACTCTTCCTTGGCTCTGCGGGTATATTCTCGGGTCTGAACGCTACGACGCATTTTCTCACTCTTCCGAAACTCAAAATTATCTGCGATGCATATACTGCAAAGAAGCCATCTTATAACCCAACAACTGTCATACCGAATCCTTCGTCCTTGAATTTCAGATATGTGAAGGAACAACTGAGTCTAGACAAGAAAGTCAGGGTTATTAGTAGTGGAGGTATTAGCTGTGGGATTGATGCTACACTTTACCTGTTGGCTTTAGTGAAGGGAATATCGCCTGCTCTAGCTGTAGCACAAATGATGCAATATACTTGGAGAGAGATGCCATAATCATTTATGAGTTGATGGTTGCCAGTAGTCTGGGCCGCGGTGCGACAAAGATTGTTATTCTCCGATATTTCTTAGTGCATGGGGTGCATTTAGCAAGTTAGATTTCCTCAGATTATTAAGTTATGATCGAACCTCAATTGCTTTTCAGCATATTGAAAGTTGTTAGTTCTTGAATACCATCTGAACAGATGGAGACTATATGCATTATTGGAACGTGTTTAAAGAGTAAGTTGAATATTATCATTATTCTCTAGAACAAGGCCATAATTTCCATCGTTCAATACACTTAATGTATACCGCTCGCCTGATAATACTTCTGGATGGCCCTGTGTATATCCCAATGCTCTTATACATTCTCATTGCTCCAGATTATATAACTCCCGTCTATTCCAATGGCACTGATGGGTTTTCATTGCCGCAAAATACATCAACCCTCTCCAAGGCAAAAATTCCAAACGCTAAAATTCCATATTCCCAATTTAATGCCTATCAATCTCCTCTGATGTAAGCTGGTGGTAAAGTAGAAGGAGTAGTTACACAGTTTTCCTCATCAACCGAATCATCCGCCTCATTTTCTGGCGCTTCCTCGTGTGAGTCATATCCCCTATATGATGGTGCGTGTGAGTACGCTGGCGGTGGGGTTACCGGATCTGGTCTCCTTGTCGGCATCGGGCGATACCCAGCTGTATTTTGGAACACGGGAAGTGTCGCAACTTCCCTTCTCAATTCCTCGTTGTCTATTTCTGTATTTGCGCTTGCTGTTGTGATCGTCGTAAATTCTCGATATTGTTCCTCATTACTTCCGGTAGCCATTGCATGCTGAGTTACAGTGTTTTGCTGGAAGATAGGAAATGAGGCTACTTGTCGACTCACTTCCTCATCGATTGTCGTCGGACCTGTTGGTCGACTGGGTCGACGAAGATGAGCTGGTGGGGGACTAGGTAGATTAGTCGCGAAGATAGGATATCTAGCGACCGCTCGATGTACCTCACGATCTACTCTTTGCATCATGTCTGCGACACTCTCGCGAGGCCGTAATGTGTATATAGAATCTGGCTGTTCAACAGGGCGAGAGACGATCCGACTGCCAATATCAGTTGGAACGTAGCTTTGCTGAAATCGTATGGATCTGTCGTTATTTGTTCTTGCTTGTCTGGCTTCTGGCTCAACCCTCGCACCGAGTGCCGCTCTTGCTGCCCCAATTTGACCGGTTGGTCGGTAATAGCCTTGATTTCTTAGGCTGCTTGCTGTATGGTCTTCTTCGATTGATGAATTTGTGGGAGCTGGAGAAATTGTAGCACCCAATGCTGCTCTTGCAGCGCCCATTTCTCCCGTCGGTTTCGGTCTATGGGAATAAACTGGGCATAAAGTGCGAGAATCATTTCGTGATTGTCGTGATGGTGTTGTCTTTGTGCGTGATAAAGGTCGTTGAGTATAGCGACATTTTTTCTGTTCCGCCTTTTTCTCGATGACGATTCCACATATGAAAGAAAGGAAGAGAACAATCATCACGCCGGCCGGTATGGCTAATATCCATGTTCTAGCGCTATCTTGAGACTTTCTATCCGATGTGATTTTCTCAGAACGAGTATGAATATTAGTGTATTGGTATCGATGCGGCGTTTGTTCAAGTATAGTGGTCATCATTCTAAAGGCTGACTGTGCCACTTCTTGGATCGTGACCACCCCTGAACGTTCGGGCTCCTTTGGAATGTACATTCTGGTCGAAAGAGTGATCTTGATGCTATTCACAATAAGAATTGTGCTTCAAAGATCTATTGGAAAGTTTCAGTCAGATCCTGTACCTCGAGTACTATTTACAACTGTTCAATTTGTTCATAGAATTTCTTACAGGAAAAGAAAAATGCCGCAAGCAGGGGACCAAAGACCTTCTTATACTTCATTCTGCTGATTCGCCATATCTATCAGATTTTATAGCGTTTGTTCTGACGGTTCCAAGTATCATCCACTTCATCGGTAGTATCAAAAACTACAGCCTAGCTTGGCGCTACCCCATAATGATCGCCTAGCCCGAACCAAAAGGGGTAAGGCACGAAGCTTATTTTGAGTTCGGTTACTGTGAAGTTAAACCTAGCACCTTATCTTTGGGTTTAGTAGACTTCAATCACACGCCGTTGATTGGTGATCTCTAATGATTTTAGATGACTTCAGTTTTAGACATGTGGAAACTCATTGAGGGTTTTATAAGGTTTCCGGTGCCTGAATACCTATCATCTTGGAAAGACTATGCTGTGCCCAATTGGAGAATCTTATCATGAAGAATACTCTCAACTATTCTGTGGGTCATTGGGAGGCATCAGAGTATCACTAAAAGAAATCAGAATTCTCAATCAATGATGTCAGTTCCAAGCAAGTGAGGTTTAGTATACCTAGTTGTTAGTTAGTGAATTCCAAAGTGGGTTCGTTTAGAGTCTAGACTTGCACATGACTTGCATAACCGTAAATTCCGATTGCGAAAGCTTTGGCTTGGCTTGCACTCATACCATAAAATGATTCCGAAATTTGGAAGATCAAATAATAATGAGATAAATTGAACGGTCGTCGTTTTTAATAGACTGATCATGATTTTCTTTCTTTTCTCACATTATCAAGACAGATGAGATTGTCCCAGTGCAGTGCATCAATATTCATATCATTCTTCAATTAATAATGGCGTACTGACATACTTGATTCCGCCCCGCGCGTAGGTTAGTTGAATCTGCTTCGAACTAGCGTGAACTACCCAGAAACTGTGGGTATCTAAAGACGTGTAGTTGGCCGTTGAGGACTATCTGTATTGCCAATGCTTGGTTATTGCTAATATATCCATAAGATATGCGTTCTTTTATTCCTAGCGGGGATTTGAGGATATCGTACAGACAATTAGGAATAAATGTTAAAAGGCTTTTTCATTCGGAAGTCAAAATCATGGTACTTTGAAATATATATTCAATTCGTAGTACTCGGGGATACATATTCGTTAAACTCTTAAGCTTCAACTTGTCATCTCATCTAGCTGTCATAAATGTCTCATTCTCTAAAGAAATATGAGCACTCCAGGAACCTTGGATCTTGAAAAGCACCAGGCTCGAATTTCCGCCCATTATCATATATACCTTTGTTTCAAGTAACATCCCATGGTGGTCTTCAGTAAGCATTTTTTTGATTTCGAATTTACAACCTACATCCTAACAGTCGTGTGGGAGGCTCAAGTACTAGATATAATCGATGCGATAGTCTTCAACTACTCAGTAGATCATCACTCCGCTCCGCCAATACTAGAACTCCGACTCAGTTATACGAAGTAAAGATTGGAATATACAAATAAGGACACGTAATTGTCCTTATTATCGCCAAGCTACTAAACTGGCAGGAGGGTTTGGCACTTCTTAGGACTACCATATGTAGAGTCAGAATAAGATTTGCAACATTCCTGAAAAGAGAGTATGAAATTTTTTTCCTCATTGCTTCATCACCTCGTCTGATACTCAGCAGCTCAAGTGGCTTTTAATTCTGTATATACTGGTTATAAGAAAGTCTCCGAGTCTTGTATTTGTCGGAATCTCCCTTGAAAATCTGGGCATACAAATGTGCAACATCCCCCATAATTTGATCTTCAATGTACCCTCATATACCTACCTGATCGACTTATCACTATGCCGTTACAACCCTATGCTTATTTCAAACCCACCCGTTAGGCCCCTCGGCAAAACTTTACAGTGAGCATTCAAGGTAGGTTGACAATAGTGTTCGAGATACTCTATGAGGTGATAATTGCCGAGCGGTGGAAAGAGCTAGCAATAGACTTTCCTTCAACCTGAAAGCTTCTTGGGGCCACCCTTGTAATTTCAGGTTGTAGATGTGCAACATGTCAGACATTAATAGCTTCGTCGGATTAGATATTGTTGGGACAGGGATTATATGACTACGCTAGCGTTGACGCTAGTGTCTTCCGACATTACAGCAATACGTTTCGTAGCCCTAGCTTTTAGAACCTTAAGTAATATAACAATAGTGTGAATTATAGTATTATATTGACTTTATTATTCTTATGATGATATTAATATTGATTAATGATATTATAGATTAGAAGCCTGATATTTTAATTTTAATTGTAATATATAATTTAAATTAAAATTGATATTTCTTTGAAGAGGTGTAAATTCTTGTATTATTTTAATATGATTTGATATTTGTTTTTGTGTGAATAAGAGTAGTTGGTAATGTAGTAGTAGTTTTTATATTAATTTTAATTTATATTTTATTCTTTATTATAATATATATTGAAGAATAAGAATTAGTAATATTTAGTTTGAGTTTAGTATTATATTTTTCGAATTCAAACTTTGTTATATCTTAATAGAATTAATATTCTATTATTTATTTGTTATTCATTAAATATAATAGAATTATTTGTAGGTTTTTTTTGTATTTCGAGAGTATTATATCGAAAATATCGAGTATTTAGTTTTAAAATAATTTGATGATATTAAGTTTATCAAATTTATTATCGAATTTCTAATTTTATTAAAGATTATGTTTGATGATTATAAATTGATGGTGGATAAATAAGAAGATTATTTTTTTAATATTAATTATACGAATAAAAGGGAAATATAAGATTTTTATAAATATAAGTTGTACAAATATAAATTCAATGATTTCTATAATAAGAAGTTGTGGTTGGATTATATTATAAATTTTAAGGATTTTAAATTAGAGTATTTTTTATTTATTAGAATGTAATAATTATATAAATTATAATATGAATTTTATATATATAGATTATTTGTTGTAAAGTATATTATCTGTTTGAAACAAATGATTAATGAGGTATTAATTAATGTATGATTTATAATATTCTAATAATAATTAGATTCTAAAATTATAGATGTTTTTAAGGAGAAAGAGTTTTAGTTTTGATTATCAAGTATATTTAAAAGAATTATAAAAGGATTGAAAGTATTATTAATTATTTTTAAAATGATTAAAATAAAAGATTCAATTAGATAAGTTATTTATAATTAAAGTAAACTTCTACAACTTTTAAATGTTATATTTAGACTATTAGGCATTAATTTATATTAATATAATAGTAAAAGTAAAAATATCGAGAAGTATGAATTATATATCTTTTTTTTATTGAAATTATTATTATAATAGTAAATATTAATGATTTGAGATTATATTATCAATCTTTTTATTGATTTATTATTTATGAAAAAATATTATAGTTTAATAAAATTAATATTTATTCGATTTATTCAACGATTTAATATTAAGGTTACTCTGATATTATTATAATTATGTTTTCAATTTAATTTTCAAAATCTTGGTCAAGAGTAATTGAGATTAATTCCAATAAAAATATGAATATTTCATTAGTTTGATAATAATATAATTCTGTAATAACGAGCTGGATAATTAATTAATGATTTATTTAATGACAATGGTGATATAAGTAAGAGAGGAGGAAATGATGGAGGTAGAAGAAATAATATTTCAAATTAGGGTCGATATTATGAAAGTGAAGAAGGAAATGATTTAGGAGGTATTGATGTCATTTAAGATATTTTATTTTTTTAGAGATTTATAAATATTGATTAGCTATTGGGCAATTTTATAAAACTTTATAATAAAGTCAATAAATATAACAATTAAAATTATAATTTTGCTTACAAATTCTTAATCTTTTTTAATAATTGTAAATGTATTAATATATTTACATTATTATTAAAAAACATATTTCTTATTATATTTATCAATATTATATTCGATTTTTATTATATAAACCTAAACAATTTACTTAATATAATAACTAGAATTTATAATTTAATAATATTTATATTTGAAGGTTCAGAACACAAATATAATTTTATATAATAATAAAAAATTATTATACTCAAAAATGTAATGATAAAATTAGATAATAAAGAGAAGATGATACTTTAATATTTATAATTTATAATTACAAAACTTTGTTATATATATAAAGGATTTAGCTTTATAATCAAAACAAAAGAATTATTTATTAAAAATTTGTTATTATATATATTTTAATATAGATATGCTTTTTAGCTTGTTTTCACTTTATTAAAAATATTTTAAATCTTTTAAAAAAATTATGTTTAATTATTATGATATAGGAATAAGTTTATCCTAATAAAGCTATAATATTTTATATCGATTATAAATATTACTATAATCGAAATGGATATGGTTAAAGTAAAGATTTCGAATAAGGTAATTAATATTTATTTAAATTATATATAAAAAAGAAATATTTTATTTATAAAAAGAAAGATTGTTAATTAATTTGATATAATAAAAAGGAATATAAGGAATTCTGATGTAAATATAAGGAATAATTAAAAAATAATAATTTCAATAAAAGCTTTAAACAATTTCCTATTAAATATAAAGGATTGTTGAAGATTTTGATTTTAATATAGATAATAAAGTTATAATTTATTTTATATAATTCAAACTTTAAACTTTATTACTTAAAATAGATTTATAAATGAATAAAAGATTATTAAAAACTTATTCAATAAATTCCTTATATATATTTTAATATATTAATCTCAATCTGAAAATATAATATATATTAATAAATATAATATAAGAAAATTTCAAGGAATTATTATTAATATAATTATAGTATAATAATTAATAATAAATTATAAATAATATATAACATATAAAATAATAATTGAAAA